GTTGTATGAAAACCAGTCTGACAATAAATTTCATATTAAAAAAAATAAAGTTATAAACATTTATATACAGTTTTTGTATGGACATGTGTTTTTATTTATCTTGGGTACATACTTAGGAGTAGGGTTGCTAGGTTGTATGATTTAGGGTAAGATTTAACTTTTTTAAATTTTCTTTTTTTTCAACGTTTATTTATTTTTGGGACAGAGAGAGACAGAGCGTGAACGGGGGAGGGGCAGAGAGAGAGGGAGACACAGAATTGGAAACAGGCTCCAGGCTCTGAGCCATCAGCCCAGAGCCTGACGCGGGGCTTGAACTCACGGACCACGAGATCGTGACCAGGCTGAAGTCGGACGCTTAACTGACTGCGCCACCCAGGCACCCCAGATTTAACTTTTTAAGTAACTACTTAATTGTTTTTCTCAAGTGGCTGTACCATTTTGCATTCCCACCAGTAATTTATGAGAGTTCTGGTGTTCTGTGTCCTAGTCAACATTTGGAATTGTCAGGGGTTTTCTTGGCTTTTTAGCCATTCTAATAGGTGTGCAGTTCTTTGTTAGTTTTAAATGAAAAAAAAAAAAAACCATGTAATTTGAAACCTTCAGAAGGATGATTTAAGTGCAAAACAAGCATTTACTGTATGACTGTGATGTGCCCTCTGCTAGGTGATGGGAATGTAAGATATGTCTCTGCTCCCATAGAATTTACAATTTGTTGATAGGCATGTAAAGAAGTAATAACAATACAGAGTTAGTGCTAATTACCTGGAGTTAAAATATTGGGGCAGAGAAGGAGAGTCTCAACTATACCGTGGAAAGGTTTTGACATTTATGATTAGTAAAAAGAAAACAATATGAGGAGCTACATGCACTTAAAAAAATTTTTTTTTCATGTTTATTTATTCTGAGAGAGAGACAGCACAATCAGGGAAGGGGCAGAGAGAGAGGGAGACAGGAAGTCCCAAGCAGGGATCTGCGCTACCAGCTCAGAGCCTGATGTGGGGCTTGCACTCACCAACTGTGAGATCATGACCTGAGCTGAAACCAAGAGTCTGATTCTTAACTGACTGAGCCACCCAAGTGCCCCAAGGAGCTACGTGTACTTTTGCCTAATGTTCTAAGATAGGTTTTGGTTGCAAAAGTCAAACTCCCCCTACATTATCATGCCTTATAAACTAATGCCTAATAAACTGCTTGGGATGATATTCTGCTGACTCACAACCTAGTGATTTGGGGTAATACCAGCTAGTCATATATACACAATAATCAAGGAAAGGGGCAACTTTAAGTTTTGTAGTTCCTTGAAGCCTGCTCTTTTGACCATTGTATTTATTTCTCTCCCTTTCTGTATCCTCCCTAGGTCTGCCTTTCTGCCTTTTACCCAACACACTGCTAACCTGTACATCTGCTCCTATTTTTTTTAAGTGTGTATATACATAGCTCTGAACTGTTTACCATAGTCAGAGGTCATAGCAGTAGGCATTTGTACTTTTTGTCCAGTTTACCTCTTCACCATTTGTCCAGCTAGATCTGGCCTTCATATGTAAGTTATTTCAAGCGAATAAGGTGATCCCAAAGTCATGTTTTCCAGTGTCTGATAAACTGGGCTGCTTATCTGAATGTATGTGGCACACCAGTGAGAAGAGCTTTGAAGGAAGATTGGGGATGGCAGGGAGCTGGAAGAGGCTGGGTGAAAATTGCTGATCGTGCTTCAGGTTGTCATGCTCCTCTGGTTGTTGAGTGGAACTATCCTCTTGCTTTTTTTAACTTGCCCCCCCCCCTTTTTTTTTTTTAAAGAACCTTGGTTAGTTCTTGGTTAGTTTGCTGTTAACAACAAGGAAAAATATAACCTAATAGAAAAAGGTTAAACTGGAATTAGTCAACCTCAAGAAGAAAAAGATGAGGAAGTCATAATTTCTTTGTATACCCTAATTGTATCCCAGGCTATATTGAGGGGTCTGGAGAATTCTTATGTGGAAGACTGGATTTAACAATAATCTTAAAGAATATTAAAATTCATAGCAGGTGCTGATCAGTTATTTCTCTTCTGAGGATAAAGAAGGAGAAGGCTCAGCTTTGTAAGGACTTTAGGTTAGATACAAGGAGCATTGTTTACTTGCTATTGACAAGAAGAATCTATAGTCATGCTTTCCAGAGGGCTATTATTTTGTCTGTGGGGACTGAAAGACTTGGTACTCACTGAGTATGGGATAAAAATCTGCATTTGAAAAGTTATTGTTTTTCCCTTTCCCTCATATGAGTGACAGGTTTTTCTTTATTTGGGAAAGGTTTTAATCTTAGGGCAAATGTATGTCAAGCTGCTCAATAGTAAAAGTTCAATTTGATATAGGAACCTCATGTTTTTAATAGGTTCTGACAAATAATGGCAGTAATTAGTGTAGAACTATAAATTTCTAGACTTCTATTTTGTGATACATAGAAGTTTTATATTATTGTTCATCTAATTGTTTGCTGCCCTGTCTAGTATTCATTATTAAATGTCCTGTCTATTCTTTTTTTTTTTTTTTTAATTTTTTTTTTTCAACGTTTATTTATTTTTGGGACAGAGAGAGACAGAGCATGAACGGGGGAGGGGCAGAGAGAGAGGGAGACACAGAATCGGAAACAGGCTCCAGGCTCTGAGCCATCAGCCCAGAGCCCGACGCGGGGCTCGAACCCGCGGACCACGAGATCGTGACCTGGCTGAAGTCGGACGCTTAACCGACTGCGCCACCCAGGCGCCCCCTGTCTATTCTTTATGATACTCTTAAGCAGATTCTATGCTTGAAATAACTGCATGTTGAACTTTTGGACGTATTGGCTCTTTGGGTTTTACTCAGGATTTATAAGCTCCATAGATTCTTATGTTTCATTGTTAGTATCTTTCCTAGAAACTGGAGGTCAGAAAACCATTTTGCCAAAGTAGACCAAGCATGGAAGGGATGCGCTTAAAGGACCAGAACAGAAAATTTGAGAAAACTGAGCATTTACTTTGTAGGAAGGATGTGTATATGGTTGGGTTGGTGAGAGACAAGAATATATATATCCCATATATATATAAAAGAGGCCTACCTCAGAAGCACAATACTGGTCCAAGAAAGCAATTGTAGAACAGTAGGCATACTTGTATGTTTAGGGGAAGAAATAACAAAACATTTTTCTATGGATGTGTGTGTGTGTGTGTGTGTGTGTGTGTGTGTGAATATATTTTTAAACATCTCAAAGAATATATGCCAAATGTACATAGTCATCTGAAGAGTGCAAGAAGGCAGGATTGGAGACTAGCTTTTAATGTAATGGTCTTTTGTTTCTGTGTGTTCAGGAAGAATGTGTTTATGTGTTAGTTATGTGATTAAATACTCATTTAAAATAGGTAAAACATATTAATTACCATTAAACAGTGTTTATAGTGTAGATAGAGACCTGAGGTAGTTTCAAATAATATAAATTCATTAGAAAATAAGAGCAGTAGGATGGAAATTCAGAAATGGCTAATTTTGTGGGTTAATCCCTTATGTGTTGAATGTATTTAACTTTGAAATGTTTTATCCATACATATGTTGAAACCATACGATAAATGTAAAAGCCTTCCTTCAGGAATGCCTCCTCTTGTTTTTCTATATTATTGCACGACCCCATTTATTCTTTCCTAGCCCATTCAAACATCTAACCACCTTTTGCTTTTTGATCCTGTCTGTGTCCCTTTTTTTGCTAGCCAAGTCCCCATTGTTCATGGAACACAAAGCAACTGATCAGTGGAGAAACATTGGAACATTACTGGCCTGGACTTGAAAGTCATAGACCTGGGTTCACATCCTGATTTCTGTCCAGCTTTGTGACTTTGAGCAGTTATATAACCTTTGTGAACTTAGCTCTCTCCTCTGTGAGACGGAGATAATGCTGGCCCTATAGGGTTGTGCTGAAGATTAAGATCATGGCTCTAAAGCAGTTGGCCCAGTTCCTGGCACATAGTAGGCATAATGATTAATTTTATCATTTGGTTCCAGAGCTGCTTTTTTTCTCAGATGTTCTTGGGTCCTTGCAGCCTTCTACCTTGTATCTCTAGGAGAGGATATGTCTGGGGGATAAGCCAGAAAGGGTAGAAAAGGGTCCTAGATTTTTCTCTCAAGAAAAAGGCAGGTGAGTGGGATAGGACTGATAGAGGTGGGCCTGTGGCTCTGCTGGAGTGTAGATCAAGCTACTTCTTGAATTTAACTGTCCTTTGAACAAGAGTTAATTGACTAAGGGCGGATGAGGATTATATTAGGTTGCCTATGTAGCAGGGTGATAGTCAAAGAGGCCTCTCTCTGATTGTGTTAGGATTAGGTTGAGGGGGGTATTTGTGAAAAGGATTAAAGGTTGAGGGAGTAGGAGGAAGTCAGGGAGGCAGTAGAGTGAGAGTCCTTAAGAGCACAGTCTAGATTTGAGTGGATTGGAACCTTGGCTCTGTTGCTTACTGCTCTGTAATATTGGGCCAGTTACTTAATCTCACCAAGATTTAATTGCTTAACTTACAAAAGGGAGGTAAAAATTACCTACCTCATAGAGTTATGAGAGATTGCATGTAGCATGCTTAGGATAGTGGCAGGCACATATTAAGTACTTGATAGATTTACTAATATTAAGTCAAGTTGAGGGAAGAATAAAAGCAGGGCTAGTGAACTGTACAATGGGAGTGTGCTACCTCCATGTACAACTAACTGATAACATTTGCCATTGGTTATCTTCAAAGAAAAGGAGTCAATAATGGGATGCATCATTTATAAATGTAATGTTCTAATACTTCCCGGTGTGTTTGCTTATTAAAAACAAATGAAAAAAGATATTTTCCTTATTTTCCCTCTATAGGGAAACAAAGCTTATTAAAAATATTTTAAAGGTTAGTTGTCACTTGTAACTCTTGTTGAATGATAAATTATGGTCTAGTTTTCTCTATGTATTTCTGTTTGAATTTTGCTGCAAATTTTATAGCTTTTCTATCCTTTTTGTTCCGTTTCTTGTAGGCTTCCTGGTTAATCAGTTGTTTTTAGTAATGTTTACTTATAAAACAAAGAGGATGAATAGAATGCTGCAAATATAAATCAATGAGGCATAGATATATAAATTTTAATGAGAAAATAAGTCTCAGCACTGAAGTTTGTTCACTTCAGTGAACAAAGCCTGTGCAAATTCTGTCCTGCATTTTGCATATCATGTTTTCATGTGTTGAGCACTAGAGAGCCTCTTGGTTTTTAAATATATGTCCCAGTACTCTAAGGTGGCATCCTAGAAGTCTCTTTGTGTTCTCCCTAATATTCCAGTAGCCACCACTATACAGATGCCTTGTTGTACATTGTCATTAGGTACTAAAAAAAAAAAAAAACCCAAAGGGAAAATCATCATTATTTTATAGATGAAGATAACCAAGGCTTAGAAACTTGTTCAGAATGACATGGCAGCCCATGGCAGAGCCAGAATTAGAAAATCTGATGTCTGATGTCAGACCACCAATTGCTGTCCTAACCCACAATCCATTGGAAGACTGCAAAGCTAACCCTTGGCAAAGTGGCCAGGCTTGTTTATTTCCTGCTGCTATCCTTCCAGTCCCTCCTTCACTTTACTGTCCCATTTTACCGATCAGATGCAGGTGAAAGGGTGTACCTTAAAGAATCATCCAGTCCAGTGGCTCTCAAATATAGCCAGTGAAAAGAGTCTCCTAGGACATTTATTTCTTTGCAAATTGTGATTAAGTTGGTTTTAGCTGGAGCCCAGGAACCTGCATTTTAACCCTTCTACATGTGATTTTTGACAATCTGACAAGTTTGAGAACCATTTCAGAGGCATAGGTCCCCACCAAAACACCCCCCTCCAATTTTCCTGACAGATAGTCATCTAATATCCGATATTGTCTTCTGATGGGAATTCACTACCATCTTGCCAAGAAGGTCATTTCATTGGTAGTTAACTGCAATGCAGTGCTTCTATAGAATTTTCATTTACTGTCCTGTATGGATTAGATCAAGTTCTTCTGACAGATGTAGGTATTGGCTTTGAGGTCAGATCTAGGCTGGAATCTTCTCTGAAGCTCACCTTCCTCATGTGTAAAATGTGTATGTTGTTATCTATCTTGACGGGTTATATCAAGAGTTAAATGAAAAAAATAAACTGTCCTGGCTGGAAAAATTCTTGAATGCCTTCAAACAGTCATTTTTATTTTTATTTTTATTTTTTTTTAATTTTTTTTTCAACGTTTTTTTATTTATTTATGGGACAGACAGAGACAGAGTACATGAAGTGGGAGGGGCAGAGAGAGAGGGAGACACAGAATCTGGAAACAGGCTCCAGGCCTCAGAGCCTATCAGCGAGCCTATCGGGCTCAACTCACGGACCGATGGACCTCATTGGACCTTGAAACCGGTCCCACACACCAGGTCATGCACATCAAACAGTCATTTTTAATAGTCCCTTCATGTTATCAGCCTTTAAAAAAAATTTTTTTTTAATGTTTATTTTATTTTATTTTTAATGTTTATTTATTTTTGAGACAGAGAGAGAGAGACAGTAGATGAGCAGGAAGGAGCAGAGAGAGAGGGAGACACAGAATCCAACGCCCAGGCTCTGAGCTGATCAGCACAGAGTCGACCGGCCAGGCTCGAACTCTAAACTGTGAGATCATGACCTGGAGCGTTGGAGCTCTTAACCACTGACCACCCAGAGTGCCCCTTTAATGTTTATTTTTGAGAGAGAGAGAGAGAGAGAGAGAGAGAGAGAGAAGAGAGCAAGGGAGAGGAGGCAGTAGCCACACACACAGATCTGGAAGCAGGTTCCAGGCTGTCAGCACAGAGCCCGATGTGGGGCTTTCGAACTAGCAGAACCTGTGGACATGACCTGAACCGTCGAGCCGTTTAAGCAGGACCTTTGAGCCACCCAGGTGCCCCGCTTATCAGCCTTTTTTGAAACAGCCCCATGTCTGCAGGACTCTAGTTAGAAGTTTCAGGACCCTGAAAATATGTTAGAAGGCTCCCGGACCTCCATTCCAGGATTGTCAGTGCCAGAAATAGGTTGTCATTTTGGCTTCTTATCAGCACACTTCTTTTTTTCACCTGTGGCTTTTTCTCTGGACAAAGAATATGGTACCTCTTATGGAGACAGATAAGCCTGCATTTCTGGAAATTCAGCTTTACTCCCTAAGTAATTGGAGTTTCCACTGATAACTTGAACCCAGAGGAAAACAAATGATCTGCAGGAAGACCTTAAAGGTAAAAGACAAGACCTTCTTGAATTATATAAAGAGCAAAATGGAGAGCCAAAGAAAATATTCCACGTCTCTTTCTTATCCAACAGTAGACAGTTGATGAGTGTTAAAAAGAAAAAAATGAGGTGAAGGTAGCAAGGGGGGGGCAGTGGCAGTAAACTAAGAAAAGTTGAGTGCTTGCCTTTCAGCAAACACAGTGTGAGAAAAATAAATATGTAAATTCAACCTAATCCTCACAGGTAAGATCCCATTTTACCAATGAGAATACTGAAGACCGTTAAGGATAACTAAGACAAGCCTTATACCTGATCAGATGGCAGGTCTAGATTCAGAACACCTAGGACTTTACAGAATGTGATTTAAAAAAAAAATTACAATACACACATTCATGTTCTTTAAGAAATAGATTTGACTTAGTGTCTGTTGTACTGTACACATTCTCCTGTCAAAACACCTGTAATTCTCTAATTTTAATGGGTTGTGTCTCTCTCTTTCTACTAGTTACTTGCACATAGGGAACTAGGTTGCAGCATTCACCTCTGAGTCACCAGGGCCTAGTACAGGACTTGGCCCTTGACTTGTGCATTAAAGGATTGCAAAAATGGGGCGCCTGGGTGGCTCAGTTGGTTGAGTGTCCGACTCTTGATTTCAGTTCAGGTCATGATCCCAGGGTCGTGGAATGGGGCCCTGTGTTGGGCTCTGCACTGAGCATGGGATATTCTCTCTCTCTCTGTCTCTCTCTCTCTCTCTCTCTCTCTCTCTCTCTCTCTGCCTCTCTCTCCTGCTTACGCATTCTCTCTCTAAAATAAAATTAGCAAGGTGGTTCCATTTGGGGGGAAAAAAAGGTTTGTAAAAATGGAATTTCTGTCTCTGGCATTTGAAAACATCTGTACCCTCCACCCCTACTCCTCATCTCTGAGTTAAAAATATATACATAGTGTTATAAGAGATATTAGACATACTCTAAGTTCAGTCTTCACATTTGTATAAAGGAAGGAATTTCAGGCACAGACTGGAGAGGTAGATCATGATGTACCCCAAAGTCCCCAGTTGATAGTAGTTATTCTAGTACTCTTGCCTCCTACTTCTCAGTTCAGGGCTTTTCTTAGCACCTGCATATATACATACCGCATTCATTTAATACCCCTCTGATTTTTCCTTTATGCTCAGTGCTGAGGAAATGCCACTTTCCTTTCTGCCTCCCTAAGTAGATAGATACACTGCTATGCTTTCCAGAAGCCAGAAGAAAAACAGCTTCTCAAGAGTTAACACTTAAGCTAGAAAATGGTCATTGAAGTTGAGGTTTTTACCTGACATTCATTTATTCTGTTCATTGGAGACGATAAATGATCATGTGCATGCTGGATCAGCTGTTCAGGACCCTGAAAATAATCTGTCATTGCAATAGTTTGATTTGGTGTGGTTGTTGAAGTATGTGTTTGTTTTGCTTTTCTTAAAAGCCAGTTAAATCTATAATGTTAAGTTAGGCTATGAGTTGCACTTCCTTTTAGCTCAGACTACTAAAAAATAACTTGTATATGATGGTCTCCCATGGGCTTGATTGAAATGTGGTGGAACAATGATTTTTTCTTCAGTTAGTGTTAGCTCTCTGTTTTCAAAATGTTTTTGACTCTAGTATCATGAAAACACTACCTAGAGTTAAAGTTTTTTTCAGGTGAGTGCATTTTAAAAGGTAATTTTAGTAGTACTTTGGACACATTTTAAATTTTAGAGAGTGTATCCAATGTATAGAACTTATCAGTAGTAATTATTAAAGATACCCAATAAAATTACATCAAAACTACAGCCACCTTTTGAATTTTCAGAAAAGCGATTCTGTTTGTAGACTAAAAGTTTTTAATTATGGACTTACTCTAGATAAAAAAATTCTGTATTCATTTGAATAGAATGTCTGTTTGACAGTGGAGGCCGAAGTGAAGGGCCGAGGGCAAAGCCAATTCACTGGGCTCTTTGTTTGGAATTTACTCTTTTAGTTCATTTGAGAGAAAGTCTGAAGTAGTGGGACATATACATTAAAGAATATGGGGAAGAAAGAATGCAATTACAGAAACTTGTGTTAAACTTACACAGTGCTGAGGAATGCCAAATCATCATTCTTAATGAAAAGAATGTGTGTTATTAGATCTGGAACTTTTATTCATGTTATTAATCCATGGCAAGAAGCAAATGATGTAGTATTAATTTTATTTATTGTCTTGTTCTGTATTTTTATTTTTAGGACCGGAGTAGGCCCTATGACACTTTTAACTTGCACTCGTTGGAGAACTCCTTAATGGATATGATAAGGACTGATCATGAGCCTCTGAAAGGTAAACACTACCCTCCCAGTGGCCCACCAATGAGTTTCGCTGATATAATGTGGAGGAATCATTTTGCAGGTTAGGAATATTCATATGTCCATTCCTTGCTTGGTGTTTTAAACAAAAATCAGCTTTTTAATAATTGTGATTTTTTTTCCCGTTTGTTTTTGTTTGCTTCTGTAAAGCACTGTGGAATGTGTTTAAAGTTTTTTTGTTTTTTGTTTTTTGTTTTGTTTGTTTTTTTAAGCTGGGTTCACCTACCTACAATAATCAAGGTTGACTGCTTTAATCATAATGTCTGGCAGAAGCATGTGTTGGGTAGCATGAGACCAGAAGGCAAGTTTTCTGGACTTTGTGCATTTGGAATCCTTTAGCTGAACCTGGATAATTCATTTAAGTCAAAGTATACTGCAAGGAAATATGAAACTTAGTAAATCAGTCTCCAAAGACTACTTCAGAAAACTTCATAGGAAAGAGTTCCATTTTGTTAAAATATAATCACTTTCCTAGTGTAGCAAGGATCATGACACAGACTTAAGAGCCAGCCAGTGATTCTTTGCACAGTCTTAAGACTAAAACAGAAGGAAAATGTCTTAAAGTGTGTAAATGTTTTGGGTTAAATATCAGGCAGAAAGTCCCAAGGTCAGCCATATTAGGACTTCCTATTTTTAGAGCCCCTGTAAATTCAGGTTAGCAGTTGATGTCACATTCATAATTACAGATAGTTCTTTTTATGTGCTATAGGGCTTTTTAGGGGCCCTGTGATATTTTAAAATACTGTAATGGAAATTTCCTGTGGAAATATCCACTACACTTGGATTTAGAGCCAAAATATCTGAAAACTGGGAAGAGTTGGCTACAAGGATGCCCATCTTTTAAGAACCCTTATGTTCTCCGGAGCTGTGAAGAATTTGATCTCCTCTGGTTCTCTCCAGGCTTTTTTATATAGGGTGTGACTGACTATGGCCACCTGATCATCATTTCCTCAAGCCACCTCAGAAATCCATTTCATCATTTTCTTGTCGTACTCATGATTTTCTGCTGCTTTCCTCAATTTCCAGTGAAAAGAAGGTAGTTAACAGGCTATGAAGAAAACAAAGCATTTTGAGAAAAGCTGTATTTTAAAAGCTATATTCTACTTCAGAAGTAGAAAAAAAAAACCCTCTCATTTATTCATTGTTATATTTAGTCACTGTTACCACGTCTTTCCTCAGTTGAAAGATTAGGTATATGGTAATTTAAAGCCTGTTTCACTTAGAAGTGAGAATGGTGTTAAAAAAAACCCCTAATGATATTCACAGACTATTTTGTGTTTTTAGTGTCTTCTAAGGCTACATTTGTCTTCCTTCTCTACCATGAACAGCTATAAGCTTCTCCTAATTATTCTAAAATATTCAGCCCTTGTTCTTTATGCATACCTGTTTTATCTTGGTCTGAATTCTTCCAGCAATAAAAGATTATGAAAGGATCTTACAATATAGTCTGTAAAGTAATTTTCCAGAATTTTGTGAATGTTGTTTACATCGGAGCTATCCTGCGCTGTTGAGAGCAGCACTGGCAAAGTGTAAGGAAGGTCCTTCGCTACAGGATAATGTATATTTATTCCAGTTTTGGTGGCCCCTTTAAAAAAAACTTTTTTTTTTTTGACATTTGTTTATTTTGGAGAGAGACAGAGCATGAATGGGGGAGGAGCAGAGAGAGAGGGAGACACAGAATCCAAAGCAGGCTCCAGGCTCTGAGCTGTCAGCACAGAACCCGATGTGGGGCTCGAACTCACAAGCTGTGAGATCATGACCTGAGCTTAAGTCGGACGCCCAACCGACTGAGCCACCCAGGCGCCCCTTTTTTAATGCATATCCAGTTCCCTCTACATATATTTCTCTGCCACACTTGGAAATATGAGGTTTCATCTGTGAAAGTCTTCTGTATTGTACTTATAATATGTCCTAATAAGTTGGAAGGCTCATAATATGTACTTTTTTATAGCTTCAATATGCTTGCAACTTTTCTGTTCATTATACCACCCACCTTGATTTCCTGTGAATGGACTGCTTCCCATGGTCAATTGCTTCACCATGTCATTGTCCTCTGGTTAGCGTGTTGAGGCTTCCTGCTTCCCTTTTCCAGCCGGGAGACTTTTCGACCTAATTTATGGCACCGTGTATTTGATTCTTATTACTTCTAATAACATAATTATGATGCTGGCATTTTAAAGGAAAGATTTTAAATAATTTTTGACTTTAAAAAAGGAGAAAATTATAATAAAAATGTAACTGAAAAAAGTAAACATTGTGATAGTGTATCCTTATTTTTCTGCATCCATATTTTTGGATATTTTCTGTATCCCTATTTTTATCTGGTCTTTATAATTTATTAATAGGCCTTCACTTTGAACACTTAGGTTGTTTCCAGCTTTTTCTCCGTAATAGGTAATGCTGCCATGAATGAGTTCTTGCACCTAGTTTTTCTTTAAGGTAAATGCATAGAGAAGATCTCTGGGTCAAAAGATGTAAACATGTAGGTGAATGGAACTTTAAGAGAAAGGTAGTAGGCTAGGGGACTTACCATATGGCTTCTCTATGAGTCTGTCCAGAAACACTTCCCTCTATTCCATCCTGTTTTTCCTCCTACCTTTAATATATTCTTCTCCCACTTGAACGTGGGAACACTTTTTTGAGGGTCTCAAAACTCAAGTTACAGAATCATATTTAGGTTTTTTTGTATGCTTGTTTTGGTTTATTTGCTGGAGCTCAGTTTTCTTCCAGGGGAAAAAAATACTTCCTTACTCATTAGAGGAAATTCAGATAGTACATAAAAAGACAAAAAGGAAAGTGAAAAAATAATCTGAGACTTACTACCTAGAGATAGTAAAGATTATTATTTTTATTAACATTCTTCGAGGCATTTTATATTCTCTTTGTAGGAGATTAAATTTCAACTCAGCCTTTCTGACTTTTTGTCATTCAAACCTGGATTTGAATCCTGGCTCTGCCTCTAGTTGGCTATTGATTTAGATAAATTAGTTAGCCTCTTCAAAGCCTTAGTTTCCTCATCATTGAAATAAAGTACCTACTTCATGGAGTGGCTATGAAGGTCAGATAAAGTTCTTGACACTAGAAACTATGATTTTTTTTTTTGCTGGCAGTGGTAGTGGTGTGCCTACTGCCTAGCCTAGATAATGAATTAAACCTTATATTCCTACAATATTTACTTCCTTCTAGCTAGACTGCAGCTCTATGTTAAAAGCTTTTAAATGCAAGTTGTCAAAATTTTGTATTTGCCATACACAGATAATTTGCCATAGTAATTATTGAAGGATAAACATTTTGTCATTATCAAAAACCACCTAAAGGAGAAAGAAAGATAATTCTCTTAAGTTGTGTTGGCTTTCCAAAATTGTGTATCTAAATAATGTGAGCAAAATATAATAAAACAGGATATCACATTCATGAAAAATAAAGTACTTCATGATGTATTTAAAGTGAACCTGATGAGGAGCACCTGGGTGGCAACAGTCGGTTAAGCATCCGACTTTGGCTCAGGTCATGATCTCATGGTTCATGAGTTCCAGCCCTGCGTTGGGCTCTGTGCTGACAGCTCAGAGCCTGGAGCCTGTTTTGGATTCTGTGTCTCCCTCTCTGCCTGCCCTTCCCCACTTGCGCACTCTCTCTCTCTCTCTCAAAAATAAATAAACATTAAAAAAAAAAATAAAGTGAACCTGATGAACTATATTCACAGTGATATTTCATCTTAGAAATGTATGCAATAAGAAATCCCCTTATTCAACTGTTCTGTTGATTTCGGTGGGGGAAAAGGGTTAGTGGGAGAAATGATAGCATGGGAAGTTCAGGAAGTAATAAGACTTGTGTTTTAGTAAAGAGCTTTAACAGCTTTTCAGTCACGTTTATACTTCTAGGTCAGCCTTGAAGATGTTTGTAGGAAAATTTAAAGGTCCCTACTTCTTCCCCCATGATAAGAATGTCAAGTAATGTAGAGGGAAAGTCAAATTGAGCTTTCTTCACAGCGCCTGAGAAATATGTTTAGTAGTGTTGATCAGACCACAGCACTCTTGTTAAAATAAAAATTAGACAATTTTTTTTTTTTGGCTTCTTAAAGATCTCAGTCCTTGGTTATAACAGAGTAACACTGTAATAATTACCTGTTGTCTCTTCCCATATTATATATGACTTTTCCTATTGTTCATTTTTTAAAAGTTTATTTTTATTTACTTGAGAGAGAGAGTGCAAGTGGGAAAGATGCAGAGACAGAGGGAAGGAGAATCCCAAGTAGACTCCATGCTGCTGGCTCAGAGCCCAAAGCAGGGCTCAAACTCATGAAACTGTGAGATTGTGACCTGAGCTGACACCAGGAGTTGGACACTTAAGGAGGGGTGCCTGGGTGACTCAGTTGGACCTGAGCTGAAACCAGGGGTTGGGGGTAGTGCCTGATGAAACATTTCTAGTGCCTGATGAAACATTTCTATATATTTGAATTTTCTCTTTCCTCACTATTCATGGAACTGAAATTTGAAAAATGAAAAGAGCAGGTGTCAGTTGAGAAACTGATATTGAAGCGTTTGCTTTTCAAATGTGTACTGAATCTGGGGGAAAAATAGCTATCTCCTGATAACAGTGCTTTAAAACATTTAAATTGACAGAAGCTTGGAAGAAAGAAATGCCACCCTTTTTGGTACTATGAAAGCATTTTTCTTTATTCATCACAATTTAAATTTAGTGTTGTACAGCCTTTCACAAAGTTGGCCCCTTTTGTGGAATGTTGAGGTTCCCTTGTTTCAGAAAAAGTGCACCTTCATTACATTTAGTTTGTTCCAGAAATATGCTGTCTCTTTACTTACTTGCATTGGTGCTCCAGTTCTATTTTTGTGCTACCTCTGGCCCATATCAGTTTGTCTTGTATAAAAGTTAGCAGCGTCCAGAAATTGTTTGGGACATAGATTCTGAGTTAGCAAGAAGTGATTGTTCTGGTTCTATTCAAGAGGAGGACAGTAAATACAAGCTGAGTGATTTTTTTTTTTTTTTTTTTTTTTTTTAGTACCTCCCATTAATTTACCCAGTGGTCCTTCTTATATAGCAGTGTAATCACCTGAGAGTTTTAAAAGAAAATTCTAGAAATTCTGATGTTAACTGTTTTATAGAGTAGAGCCTGAAATGAGGAAACATAGACACAAAGGAATGAATAACATGCCAAAAATTATCCACTACTGGTATGAAAAGAAACTAGGATTTGACCTCAGGTCTAAGCTCACGGCTTTTGTTTCTCAGTTCTTTGGAACATAGTTAGAATATTTTAGTGCCAAACTTTTATCATTTTTCCTTAAAAGGGCTTTAAAACACTATTTTATTGTATTCTTGCATAACATTATTGCATCTTGTGGATTCTTTTCCTGAAGGAATGTATCTTCAATTTTATAGAGAAAATTGGTGGAAAATACAGCCCAGCGGAATATGCATTTTTCTTATAACCTTTTCTAGAATGCAGCACTTATATTCTATTATGTAAAAGTCTCTGAAGGACTTGACTTTTTAGAGCAAACGGGGATGGTTAAAGAAAGATACAGTAGTTGTTCCTTATCTCATAACATATTGCAGAAGTAAAGAGGTGGCTTTCATAATTAATTATGAAATTCATAAAAATTTCAATTTTTATTTGGGACATATAGAAGTATGGGTTGGTTGGACTCTGAAACTTTGAATAACAGTAGAGGTCATTTATTACAACTAGCTTCTTAACTATGAATGTGACTTGAGCTTATGAGACTGTGGTTTTTACAGTCTAGATAAACCTGTGTAACCCTCTTCTCCAGCCTCTCCCTCTATCCCCTCTTACCCCCATTTATCAGACCCTGTGCATTGGGGAAAGTGGGACAGTCTCAGATTTCCACAGCATCATTTAACTCCGTAAAGCCAAGTATGCCTTTCAGTTTTCGAAACCTTATATTTTACACTATACTTAAAAGATAGCTGGCTGACAAGAACAATTTAAAAATAGCAGACCATGGACAGGTGACAAAATGTCACGCTGGCAGCACCAGACTGCATTAACAAAAATCACCAGATGTCACACACTTGATTCTATTTTCACAGCTGATTAAACAGCAGTATTTGTTGGATAAAAGGAAGAAAAAAATAAATGGCCTCATCTGAATTTGGAATCAGTTTTTCTTTTGCTGCTATATATTTTCTCTCTTCTTCAAAATCTCATAATAACTGTAAAATTTAGGATGCAAAATATATTAAGAAAAAAATAAAAAATAATTCTAATTTTAGAAAAGAACTTTTGCATATATATACCTCTTAAACTGGAAGACTATAAGTCAAAATGTTGGCAGAGCTTGTCTTTAATTGGTGATCTTAGTTTTTGCATTTTTCTGTATTATCTAATTTTTCGCTGATGAAAATATATTGGATTTTATAATCTAAACATTAATTTTTGAAGAGGTAAAAAAAGTAGCTTAAAGAAGCCATAAGTTGTTTTGCTACAAAGAATTTGCATTTAGTTGGGAAACAATTAGATTGTATTTAAATAATTGGTTCTGATGGGTCTAACATGACAGAGTTTCTTATAAAATCTTTTGTGGATGATGTTGATCCAAAGATCCACTGAAGTCAAGGAGGCCAACAGAATTAGGGAGGATACCAGGAAAGGCAAAAAGTTTTCTGCTTTTCAGCAAATACTTGATGCCTTCATGTATAAAACATCACCTACGCCTTTTTTCTTTTTTCTTTCTTTCTCTTTCTTTCTTTCTTTCTTTCTTTCTTTCTTTTCTTTTCTTTTCTTTTACATCTTTAGAAAGATTGAATTGGAAGTAATCAGTGTGGGTTAGAGGATAATAATTGGAAAACTACTGAGCTTCCTTTCGGTTTCATCTTTTCAAGCTGAAGAGTCCTAAGATCTCATGGAAAGGGTCCAAAAAGGACCCAACTTCTGGAGAACTACAGAAAGAAGCACCCCTCTAAGTGTGGGAACACCAGTAGTTCCAGAAACATATAAAAACTATTATTTGATGTAGTGATTGTAAACCACATGCTTTTTTTTTTTTTTTTTTT